ATCATGGTAAATAAGAGGACATACCACGGAAAACTGGAGGAAATAACATAACATAGGAAAAATATCCACCTGGATGATTATAATTGTTAATATGCTGTTATCCCATACCCTACTGTCAGACTTCACTTCGGCCGTGTAATAATGTGAACACTTATTGAATGGGACCGAGTGAAGTAGCGTGTTTTGTAGTCAAGAGACAGGGAGTCCTCATGCAGAAACGTCGTCATCAGCAGAACACAAAACAAAATGCTTTACCGAAGTTCCAGTCAATACGTGTTTTGTCTTATACCAAGTGTGAATTATTTGATTTTTGATTATTCGATTTTTTTAAGCTTAAAACAATTACAATTCCACGGAACAATCAGTATTGTTATTCACGGGGAATATAAACGTGTTTTTGCCCACTCAAAACGGTTGCCACGACATCAGGAGTTATCTATCGGCTCCCTTTGGCTATAAAACCTGTTTTCTACCTGTCCCCTCGATAGCGTTAAATTCCACGAGATTTAGATTTTAGACAAAAAAGTATAGAAAAAAAAATGCCTTAAGTCTACTTAATGTGACTTTGTACCTTTGATGATAGATTGAGATATTGTTCTTTTTCTAGAGATGGCCCAGCTTGATATATCTACAGGATCAGAGTAATAAAGCATCAATCAATCATTAGGCTTGCTGTAGTTGCAGGAACATGGAATATAATGCAATTTATATATAGTTTGGCACGTTTCAATGCAGTCCTTACTCAGCGGGTTGCATGGTATTTTTGATATATTGTTGTTGGTAATAGTTTCTTGACATTTAGCTAATTGTATTGCTTAACACGGCATAGATAGCGTACTTACCCAGCTCGTTTTGTTGGTGCCAAACGATAAAACTCCTAATGAGAATACAGGGCCCGCTTCATTTTGCTTTTTGTGCATCAAAAGAATGGTCTCATAAAAATCCCACTTTGCCTCGTCCCAGTCTCCACTCATATCCCAACCTCCCAATTCTCTAATACGTTCTCTCAGAGGTTCGTCATCAAGATTTTCAATGGCCGTTAGGTTCATGCACGAGGCGTACAAAACAGATGGCATTTGCTGTACTTCATTGCTAGCTCCGTTTACTTGTATTTGTTTTCCTTCTAATTTATTTCTTTTATAATTCTCTGATTTCAATTCAGCTATGTCATATATAGAATAACGCGAGAAGCCGGGCGGCCGAATATTGTTTGTCGGCCATCTCCCACAAGCGTACTCATAAAAATCATCGCAAGGGTCCACGGCCAGGTTCATCGAGCTATTAATTTGGATGGCTGCCTCAATGCATTCTGTGGTGTTACAAACCCTGTTGGATTGAGTGTTGGTTTTACTTGTTGTCTTGGCATATCCTGGGGTTCGAATTTTGTTCAAACCTTGATCAAGATTACTCCTCATTTCGTCCTGAGTTGATGCTACGCGGATCATGGATATCACCAGTAGGACTGCCAAGAAACGAGGACCATGGATTAACGACCATCGCTTGTTTTCTTGTCTCACTCCGCTTCCAGCATTCATCATTCTTCCCATCACGACTACACTGATTCTTGATGCTTATCTGTTTTGATACTAGCCGAGTGTTATCACAACTGTAGGCTTTTCGAGTCAGTTATTGTTTAAATGAACTCTTATTAGTTACGTGTTTTAGAATATACCTGTAAATCAAACGTGTGTCCTACTTGAAAGTCAAAAATTGTTTGAAGTGCTTTTGATTTTTTTTGAATTGCATTCACTGCTTACATAGTTTTTTATTTTAATTTCCGTTGATAGGAATTACATGCTAATGCATTTCAATCTCTAAGAACTTCATTTGGGCTGCTTTTGCTTGACTAGAAATTTATTTTCTTTTATGGCAAAGTTTCTTAGTATTATAGTTAACTGAAATTTTTAATTAATGTTTTTTGCTACAATCGTTACGATTCACTTTAAGAATCTTACGTAACTTTTTTTCTTGTCTTTATTTGTCTACAATGGTTTTTGTTTGGCCTTTCCTTCTAGACAGAAACTTATCAGATATAAATAAGACTTGCGTAGATATCTCGGTTTATTACTTCATAGCAAAATATGTTTAAAGTACATTTCATGAACTTTCATTTTCTTTCCTTTATAAGGTTTATAATACGTATAAATTGCTTCACTAGGGTATTTTGTGGTTGCGTGAGACTAGCTTAAGGATCGCATGGACTACCTGTTAAAAAACAGCGCCTCCAGTCAGTTACAAGATTTCTTTCAAGTTTAAGTGTCCAAATTCCATCTCATTAGATATTGTTATTTATTATATATATAACGAGAATTCCATAGCGTAAAGCCTATGAATATTCAAACAGAACTTTTTAAATCGTCGCGGTGACAATGTTCTGTTTGCTGGATCATTTTAGAATTTATACCAGTTGTTGCTCTTGGTTTGAAGTTTGTATAATTTTATATGGTGCAATCCCATTAGTGATATATAAAATCAAGTTACTCTCATTTAAAAAAAAACAACAAACAAACAGACAAGAATAGATAAAACAAGCAGACAGACAGACAAGAGAAAAAAGAGTAGCTTGATTTTTATAAGTAAATGGGTTTGCACCATATAAATTACAAAAGGCATCGAGCGAGAGCAATCACGAAGGAATGCACTGATAGTTGTGTCAGGAATATATTAGCATAAACTTATRAACCGCGAAAAGAGACTGTAGAGTTCTTGCCTTGTGACTTTCCAACTTCAAGGGCCATTTTAAAACTATTAGAATGAATCAACCGACATGAGCGTTTGCAGGTACAGATAATATATCCTTGAGAAGACGTAGCTAAATATAACAAGTTTTGACAAGGGAAAACGTGTCAAATGTGCTGGGCACATTGGGTACTTTGAATAGAGTAGAAGACTATTTGGGATTTAGTCATTGTAAGACAGAAGAAAGTCCGTGGATTCGGTTTGAATATTTTTTTACGGTCAAATTGAACCAGCATAAACGAGTCTTGGTCGCAAACCCCAAAGCAAGCCTCCGTCTCTCTGAGAACCAGTGTTATGGTGGCTCCATCGGCTCAAAAACACCACACAAAACATTATTGAACAGAAGATTTTCCATCTACAGAAAAAGTTTGGTCTCGAAAATTTACCTCAGAATACCCTGCGAGCAGAGTCTCCTTTACCTTCCCCCAAGTAAGAGAAAGGAAAGAACACTCTTTCCTTTCTCTCACTCGGGGGAAGGTAAAGGAGACTTTGCTCGCAGGGTAACCTCAGAATGGAAATATTACGAAAAACGTATCTCTTTTCCTACACTTCTAAGTAAATTTGCCCCCCAAACAATATGGCGTCGGAAACCGTGAAARGAACTATAAATAAACTAATACAAAACTCGTGTGAGTACTCTTTTATGTAAATTATGACGCAGTAAATTCCTCGTCCACCCACTCGTTGAAGGTTTCRGCATGAAAATCCCTTTTTCATAAAAATATTCGACTAGAAATAGATACGTTTAGCTAACCAAAACAAAAATCATTACTTTAGTTAATACAATAACATATAAAACGGCCTGAAACCACCTGAAACCACCTAAAACGACCTGAAACGACCTGAAACGACCTGAAACGACCTGAAACGACCTGAAACGACCTGAAACGACCTGAAACCAGCCAAAACATTGAATCTCCATCGAGTTTGTATTTTATTGACTTTTATCGATCGATCAAGTGTTTGTTTTCCTTGGAAGGGATGTATTTCATGGTAGAATGTCATATAGTCGCTACGTATACTCTCCCATAGAAGTATTCCACACTTATACCTCATCTCTCCCTCGCTACGATTACCTGTTCCTAGCTATGATCAACCGTCCTTACCTATGATCAACTGTTCCTAGCTATGATCAACTGTCACTAGCTATGATCAACTATCCCTAGCTATTTTTTCTCAAACCAAGAGCAACAACTGGTATGAATTCTAAAATGATCCAGCAAACAGAACATTGTCAACGCGACGATTGAAAAAGTTCTGTTTGGTGATCACGAAACTGCATCGAAACACCTTAAAACGAAGATTAAAAATAGTCTTAGGACATTGTATAATCTTCTGTCTTGAAGAAAAGACAAATTTAAAAGACGACAGATAAAAAACAATTGTAACAGACAAGCCCCCTCCTCTTTGTGAATGTAATGATGGTTCAGTTGAATCAGCTTGCCACTATTTCTTACACTGCTCTCGATATGCCCCTCTTCGTACAGCCCTTTTGTCAGTTTCCGCACAGCTTTTTGTAAACGATACCACCGATAAACAAAAGGTTGATTACTTTTTGAACGGATGTCCCAATTTAAATGTTTCTAATAATCTTAAATTGTTTCTAGAAGTGCAAAAATATATTATCGATACAAAAAGGTTTACGAAAGATTAATTATGCATTTATGAGAAAAATTCTTTATAATCTCACTACTATATTGCTATAACATAATTCACAATTTATATTATTGTTTAAAACTTGTAATTATTGTAACTTTGTTTAACTTTACCTGTATCCTAATTAATTTGTTAGCATAGTTTTTTTTTCTTTTCTTTTGTGTGTGTGTGTGTGTTTGTACTCCACAACCAAATGTGTAAATCTTTTATTAAGTGAACTCCCTAGATGAGCTCGAATGAGAGCTCTTGGAGCAAACTTAACAAATTTATATGTTTAAATAATAAAAAATAATAATAATAAAAAGAAAAAAAACAGACAAGCACCAATCTTAACAGACAAGTCATAACAGACAAGTATCATCACAGACAAGCATTGACAATCCGAGTGTAGTCGTGATGAGAAGAATGATGAATGGTGGCATCGTTGGGAGACAATAAAACAAGCGATGGTCATGAACTCATGGTCGTCAAACAATCTTTTACCAGCCGGCTATTCGTATGATCATAAAGAAATTAAAGTACACGTATACCCTATCAATAAATCGAACAATAAAATGCCAAGAAATTAAACCTTTTATCAAGAACAACATATCAAACTTGTTATGCATTATCATCTTCGTTGTTAATATTCTTCCAGAATCGCAATCGCTGTTCGCTGTGAATCGCTTGATCGCCGAAAAGTGTTTTCCTATGATCACTGACGGTCCCTGGCATCATTTTCAGCGATCTGGCGACCGAGAGCAATTTTATGTAAACCAGCCTTAAAACCAATCAAATACACACCAAATTGGAAAAAAAGGTCATATTAATCATTGAAGCTAACACCGAAGGGTGTTCTGGGTAAACAGTTAAAGAGGCTAATATAATGCATATTGCAGTTTTGCAGCTCTCGAGCAAATATTCAAATTACCAAACAGAGCATTAACTCTTCATGCACGTGCCTATGAATGCCCAGGATATCTATATAGTACCCAGAACAGAATTCTGTCTTCGATAATTTAACAACGGGTTTTCAAATTTGGTGTAGTAAAATAATAGTCAACAATAGCATTTCTATCTCAGCCAATCAAACTATTTTATTAACATTTCCAGCTAATAGCGTTTACATTATCTAGCTGTCAGATAACTGTAGACAGATTTATTCAGATCTTGGCTTGTTTGCTTGATAGCGATTCATTGCTTTGCTTATAGACCAAATTCAAAACTTGCACCGATGTGAGGCTTAAGTTGTGAACAAAGGGATCTGGCGTGACTCAAAGTAATTTGACGTGATTCAAAGGTCACGAATCATGCCAGATTCCTTTGTTCACAGCTTAAGCCTTACATCGGTGCAAGTTTTGAATTTGGTCTATGTATTATGATTTAATAGCTAACTTTGTAAGAGTAGGGACCCCAATTGGATTATCCGTAAAAGCTGTAGTAAGTTAGTGATTTTTTAAAATAATAATATACTAATGATATATATTTATACCACTGGCAATAATTTTGCTTTTTCGATGCTTCTGCTATAGAGTAAATTGATTTCACTTTGCCCGTTAAACAAAATTGCCTAATTAGAGACTACCAATTAAAAGAGAGAGAAAAATATATAGAATTAGCGCTACTACCATGTGCTATGCTTAATATGTTTTCACGGGAAAAGTAAATTACTCCATTATATGCAACTGCTATAATCACTATGGTAATACTGTTATAATACTGTTATAATACTGTTATAATACTGTCATGATACAGCCATACAGCAGTTTTCGTATGACTTTGTAAAGCTCACGGCGCAAACGCGGTCATGACACGGCAAGGCATACGCCAGACCAATCGCATTGCTCGAGAAATGATCAGCCACTTAAAATCCTAGAAAGCTTCACGGTCGCGGCAACGCAAGTATACGACATCGACTTTTTCCTGACAGTAAACGAAAACTGCTCTAATACTCCTATTATACTGCTATAATGCTCTAATGCTGCTATAATCCTATAATACTGCTATAATTTTCTAATGCTTTAATACTACTATACTCCTATAATACTGCTATGGTGCTTTAATACTACTATACTCCTATAATACTGCTATAATGCTCTAATGCTGCTATACTTCTATAATACTGCTATAATGCTCTAATGCTGCTATACTCCTATAATACTGCTATAACGCTCTAATACTGCTATACTATATAATACTGCTATACTGTGACATATCGTCACTGCCATTGTTGCTGGGCGATAATGCGCTGCTACAAGTAGCTAATACTACCAACCTATTGCTACTGCTAGTACTAATAAATGATACTGCTACTGCTGTCGCCGATGCTTCCACTATTCAGTTACCTATACATACTATTAGTCTTTATTTCCGCGAGTTCTTGATGGCGGAAGTTCACCTTGTTTTTCAACGGTTTTGCGCTTTTTGTTGTTGTTGTGAAGGGTGTTGTAGAGGTAGTGCTAGTATTTGCTTCTGTGGTCTTTGGTTTTGGTTTACTGGACACGCTATCACAATCCAATGTGAGTAGAGTTTGTTTGGTCTATCCCTTAATTTGAGGGCTTTTATTCGCCGGGTTTTTCCTCATTGCAAGCTAAATTTCAATTCGATTTGTGAGTTAGTCATGCCCTTACTTTGATCAGCCCAGATGTTTTTTAGCGTATCGATGAAATTTGGAGGATTGAAGTCATTGGTATTTTTTGTCCCGTACGGGTAATGTCGTGCTGGAAGTGAAGCAATACATTAAAACTTTGTATCATTAGCAACCCTTGCATGGTTAATGGGTGTAAGACTATTTCTGGCAAGTCTTGTTTCGCCTGTTATCCTTGCAGATTGTGTAGGATTGAAAGCAGAGCTAAATGTTCCTCTCACCACTTGCAGTAGCTGCATAAACGATAGCCTTCTTTGTTGAGAGTGGCTGGAAGAGCTGTTGTTGGATCTTATTCTCGTTCGTGGCTTCACACGTCGCCTTGAGCAAGATGACATCCTTCTGCAACAGCCATGCATTCCTCGGCTTAAAACCTTCAGGAAGTCATGGCGAAAGCTGTCGTTGAGCAGAATATACAGACATGGGTTTATACTGCTGTTAGCTTGGCTGATCCAATACGTTACGTATCCCCAGTGCTCTATTTTGAGATAGATGTCGAATCTAAAGACTAGGTAATAGTGCATCAGATGGGAGGGGAAAAAGCACACAGTAAAGACCACCACGATAGCAACCAGAAGCTTGACCACTTTCTTCCTTGACTTCTGAAGAGCAGCTCTGTGACTCTTGTGACCTGTGTTTGGTGGAGCGGCCACGAACCATAGCTTGAAGCAGATCAAGGAGTACAAGAATCCCACGAAGAGAACTGGAAAGCAATATAATATCACAAAAATGGCTATGAAATAGTCCTTTAGCACTCTCAAGGTTGCTTGTTGGGCGCTATCATCATCGCCTTGCCAAGGCCACTCTGTCACACAGTAATGAGTACCCATGGGCTCTTGCTCCTTTGTGGTAAATATTATAAGAAATGGCGAAGTCATTAGGAAGGCTAGCACCCAGATCAAACATGTCAGCAATTTAGGCAGTTTCAGTGAGTCTCCTCTCAAAGGGAAGAATATAGCAACGTAGCGTTCTGCTGAGATGAAGACGATGGTGAATACGGACGCCGCCAGGGAAAGAAAGAAAGACGTGTAAATCAGCTTACACGTCAAAGTGCCAAAGCTACCAGAGAACCACCTGTTCGAGATGTACATTTGGGCAATACTTGTGGGCATGGATAAAAGTGTGACAAGCAAGTCAGCAAATGCCATGTTGGCGATCAGCAAGTTTGTTACCGTCTTGACGCCTCCATTGCGCTTGCAAACTACGTACATCCCAACACTGTTGCCAACAAAACCCACTATGAAGGTCACGGCGTATGCAAAGGTCATCCCGACTTTCATGGATAGGCTAGGTGTTAGATCATCATACATGGTGAAGTTGGTGGCTGAGAAAAAAATAGTATTAAATAACCATTAATGTGGGACACAGAAATGCTTTTTAATAACTTATGGCCTTCAGTAGACATTATTCGCCGTGGTTTAATATTTTTCCATTACAGATCACGTGTCATTCTTTTGAGAGTAAGATTCTTTGTTTGAATTGTATCCATATTACTATGTTTTCTCATGCGCAACTGGCGTTAGACAAAGAAATGATACTCTATGAAATGACACTGGTCTGAAATGGAAAAAAAACATTGGCCCCCCACAAATAAAATCTGTTGGTCGATTGTCTGTTGTTAGAACAGAACTCTTTACCTTGGCCGTATCCCCCCCCCCCCCCCCCCCCCCCCCCCCCCCCACCCCCATTACCCCAAGTCACGTGTCTTTCCCTAGAGTATCCTTTCTTTATTAAAGAGCTGCACGTGGAAGATACATGATTATGGATACAACTCAAACTAAAATCGTAGTCTCAAGATAAATACAATTACCTTGACATGGGAAAACATTACTCACAAGCAAAAGAGGTAATTGGTTTGCAGAAGGTTCGGATGTAGTCTTAAACACACGAGTATAAGGTTCTGCTTCCAACCCGCTGTATGTAAATGTACTTTGACCAGGGGGAAAAGGAAGAAACTTTCTCTAGAAACCTCTAGAAGTACCGAAGGTCAACGCACCACGCACTAGCCAACTGAGCTACGTCGCCTGCTACTACTTTGAACATAATTTGGAAGCCCCAAGTGGAGCACTGCTCTGTGGGGTTTCCCTGCCCATAAGGCGAAGTTTATGAAATAAAAATAAAATAAAAATAATATCTGCATTTTCCACGTTTTTTTTTCCCATGTTTTTCATGTTTTTCATTTTCAAGTTTACATTTGTTTATGCTCCTCTCACAGGAGGCACTGAGAAGATGCCCACTTTTTCAGCTGCTCAGTCTACTTCCATACGAGGTGGACAAGTCTTTTCCGGTAAGTATACAAAATAATGTACTTGTAATTTAGATAAACTAAATAAAAAAGATAACAATATTGGCGCCTATCAGTAGATCGATATCAGAAATTTATTTGGGCAAGCGGGTGTGGCGCTTCACTTTCCTTTCCTTTATGAATTTAGACCGATAAGACTTTCTTTGAAAGATATAGATGGGTTCTTGATTGATAGATAAACGGATGCCCTGCGTTGATCGCAAACAGATAACCAAAGATAACAAATAACAAAACATATTCATCAAAAAGGAACCTTTAAATTAGGGTTTGTGAAAAAATTAAAGCTAGGTAAAAAAAGAAAACAAAAATCAAGGATTACTGAAAAGAAAGAAAGCAGGCAAGAAAGCAAGCAGGCAAGGATGAATGAAAGAAAGAAAGAAAGACAGAAAGAAAGAAAAAAAGAA